TAGCCATATAGGTAATGTTAAGCAAACAGTTAATAGTTTAATAATAATTTTATTTTCTGACTATACATAAACTTACAATTGTTATGTTTAATTTGTTTCATTAATTGCTGAAGCTGCTCTTGAAAATAATATGTTTAAAAAGCTAAGAAGAACCACATTTGGAAAATTGTAAGCACTTTTTAATAAGCAAAGTAGATACTCAATTTGCTGATATAATAAGTGATAACATTGGAGTATACTTAAATATCCCTAATACTACAAGGCGGAACTCTCATTTTGATGCCATAAGATTTCTACTATTACACCGAAAATCAAGCCCTACTAAATTTGTGATGAACTTAAAATTGCCAGGATCAATAATAATGATGTGGAATTTATAGAGGAATATTGCTTGGTTATGAAACCAGTTGCAATTTCACTTGATATTCTCCAGGTAATATTAAATTATAATTATAATATTATAATTCATACAGTTAATTTTTGTATTACTTATGTATATATGTATATGGTATACTATATGACTAAAATTTCCAATTTTCATAGTTTTTTGTTAATATTTTTTACATTTTATACATGTAATTATTATTAGCAAAAACTTAAAATTGTATGATCAAATTGTTTTTTATATCTTAAAGCTTATTATAATTATAATTATAATTCATACAGTTAATTTTTGTATTACTTATGTATATATGTATATGGTATACTATATGACTAAAATTTCCAATTTTCATAGTTTTTTGTTAATATTTTTTACATTTTATACATGTAATTATTATTAGCAAAAACTTAAAATTGTATGATCAAATTGTTTTTTATATCTTAAAGCTTATTATAATATTATCTTAACATTTCACTGGCATTATTTTAATTGTAGTATATTTATTTAGGGTGAAAACAATATGTACTTAGGATTTTTGCTGCCTACAATAAATGAATAATTGTCAAATAAACTTGAAGCTATGAGCAGAAAACAAATTGTGTATTGTCAACCCTTGGTAACTGCTTTATATGATGGGGTGAATAAAAGATTTGGAGCTCWAGAAGAAAACAAATTCCTTATCATTGAAGCTGTAAGCCATCCTTCTTTCAAGTGTGCATGGATTAAAAATGAAATTAGGAAAAATATTGCCATCTCTTTATTAAAAGATGCAATGTATGAAATGTATTCTGACAAARTGGTTCAAGATACTGGAGAATTGAACAAACAGAAATCTAGTAGTAGTGATGATAGCAATCTAGAGGAAAATACTAATGATTCGTTTTTTTCGTGAGCCTCAACAAAAAAAAGTCRGAATGWATTAGTTGAAAATGAAATTGCTGACTTTCTCAACAAGAGTCCGACTAAAAAAATCAACGTATTAAATTTTACTCCAATTTGAAAAAAAGGTTTTTGTAAAATATAATACTCCCCTCCCCACAAGTGCACCTATTGAAAGGGTGTTTAGTATAGGGGCCTGTATATTAACAAAAAAAAAGAGGGAAGATGAGTGATTCTAATTTTGAAAAACCATGTTGTTGAAAAGTAATTCTAAAATATTATCTAAATTCTAAATAATAGCAGATTTTAATTTTTTTTTCAAATAACATTTTGATTGAATATTGTGAAACAAATTTTAATAAAAATATAAAGATTATTTCATTATAACA